CACCAACACTGGCTGCGTCGACACGGAGCATGTTTTCTGCATTCAGTTGTGACTCGAAATCATACGGCTACAATAAATCATGACCAAAAAAACGCCCTCATCAATTTTAATGAAGCCTTATCTAGCGCTGGTTCCTCTGGCCAAATGCAACAGTACCTGCAGAAGTGCTTGAGGAAGGTTTCCAACCTAAAGAGCAATCTGTTATTTCTCGATTGGAGAACCTGTTCCAACCTGCCTCTGGTTGTTCTGGAATGAATAAAATATTGCTAGATAAGGGCCACGAGCATTCTTACATTCAAAATAGTCTTATTCAATCAACATTTCAGAGTGTTCGTTCACCGTTGGCTCATTGGTTACTCTAAAGTAGCCACATGCTAGCTGTGGACTCTCCTGAGCCAGCTTGTTTGTGTTGGAGCTAAAGGCCCTTCTCGTGTTCAGCTGGACGTTATTGATTTCAGGGAGGAAGGTGAAGATGAGGTTCGTCTGCTACCAAGCAAATCCATCCAGGCTAATTTATTCCACTGGCTTAAACGGCAACGGAAAAGTTTGGCAAAAAAGTCAAAGTTACACAAATCCGCCTCTTATCCCAAGTGCAGTTTGTTTCTTTAGTTGTAGTGCTGGAGCTATGAGGCTGATGTGGCATGGTGCTAACTGCATGTCTGAATCGTTACACTGGCCTCAAACTGTGTGGAGGTGTTCAGTATCTCTAACAGACTTGATTATGTGGTTTCTGACACTGTATGATGTAGGGAGTGCGGGGAACAACCTGATAAGAGGCACAATTTAACATGGACTTTTTATGTTGTTATAGAAGGTCAAGCAGCGTGAACTTCTGGCCACATTACCACATTTCCTAGCCGCGGCCTCCCACCAAAATTCAGAATGATTGGTCAGCCTTTTAAAGAGATCTGAGCCAAAGAGTGTTTTTAGGGCTTGTAAGTCATTTTTTTCGACATACGTTTTTTCGGGTACTGAGCTGTGTAAAATCACAAAATCCAACCTGATATGACTTTAATCTCCATCTTGTTTCCTACAACGCAGCACCGTTTAGAAGCAGCTGACCAGCTCACAGCAAGTGTAGCTGGGCTGAAGTCCAGCCTCTGTACTGCGGGGTTAGTTCTTACACAGCGTTACAGCTCAGATACCTTCAGTACACAAAGACTAATAAAGGACATTCAGTTTCATATGTTTACACAGATTTTAAGATGAAAAAGAGAAACATCTAAAACTGATTTTCTTCTGCTTTATTAGGATCTTTCAGACGTTTTCAGTGTTTTGGTTTTAAATGAGTATATTAATGAAACTGACAGTATCAGCTGGTAAAGCTGTAGTTACTCAGAAACAGTGTTCATATTTTACTGATGTGTGATGTTTTTATTTGCTGTCCTTCACTGGACAAACAATAAATCTGTCACTGTTTGACCCACAGAATCATGTCAGTGTTCATATATAATTAGATGTATCAGTTCATCTGTCTGTCTGTCTGTCTGATAGACGATAATATATAATGCAGCACGGCTGGAAAACATGTTTCTCAAACATAGAATTAAATTGAATTAACTCTGTTTGCACTGATTGATCAGAGTTTTCTAGCAGGTGTTAAACTGACCCTCTGTCTGTTACAGTGAACCCACCCATGGGCTAAACTGGAACACTGCACTTCCCTCATTTTGGGTGGAACTGTACTGAACGGTAGGAGCTGGAAACACAGTTTCAAGTGTTCGTTTGTAGCTGAGATGTTTATGTCGCTTGTATAAAACATGATTATTCCAACTTAAACATTTTTTAAATTATTTTGCAAAAACCAAAACTCTCCCCTACTGCTATCCACAGATACGTTAGCATAGCTAAAAACAGTGGCAGCCTGATTTGTCTGTACTTTAGTCCATGTTTATAGATGACAGTGTGTCATACAGTGTCAGAAACCACAGAATCAAGTCTGTTGAGATTATGTGAAAAGGATACGTTACACCGGTATTTCAAAACGTCTGCAGAATTCAGTGATTGAGATGTAAACAAGGTCATTCAGAGTGGTTTGGTGTGAAGTGGTTGGTTGTAGAGAGACAGTAGCTCACTCATGGACCACACTGACGTCCTTTAATAATCAAAATTCTCTCTCCGTTGTCCCATCAAATAAAGGTCCAACCACCTCCTTGTTTCTACACTCACTGTCCATTTTATCAGCTCCACTTACTATATAGGTGCATTTTGTAGTTCTACAGTTACAGACTGTAGTCCATCTGTTTCTCTGATACTTTGTTAGCCCCCTTTTACCCTGTTCTTCAGTGGTCAGGACCCCCATGGACCCTCACAGAGCAGGTACTATTTGGGTGGTGGATCATTCTCAGCACTGCAGTAACACTGACGTGGTGGTGGTGTGTTAGTGTGTGTTGCGCTGGTACGAGTGGACTAAGTCCATTTATTTTACTTTAAGCTCAACCTCTATAATGAGATTAAACAGTTTGTATTGTGATTCTATAGAGGTTTTTGCTGGATATTACATTATAGTATTGGTGTGAGTTCAGTTCTGTGTAAGCGTGAAGCTCTGAGCTGAAATCTGTATGTATTTAATGGGTGGTTAATTGGAGGGGGGCGTTCACACGGCCCTCCGGCCAAAACAATGCAGCAACGCTCACATGGGGCCCGAAATTAACTGCACTCGTCACTTCCAGAACTGCTTCCAACAATCAATAGGCACGTTATCAATGAGGGGTCATGTTTAAACATATGTACAACTTCTGAAAGTCATGGACAGTGATGAATAACTGAAATCTCTCACTGACCACTTTATGAGCTCCACCTACCTCATAGGTCCACTATGTAGCTGTACAATTACAGCCTGTAGTCCATCGGTTGCTGCACACGTTATCAGCCCCCCTCTACCACACTCATCATCTGTCAGTGACCAGAGGAGAGCTGTTGACCAGATATTGTTTGGGTGGTGGACCATTCTTGGCACAGCAGTGACTCAGACATGGCATAGGCTCCTCATGGCCATGTCAAAAATAATTTTAGATGACATTTTTAAACATATACTCAGTTAATACCGTAAAGTAAAACTAATGGCCTAAGTTAAAATTTAGCTGGATCTGCCAACAAGCTAACATGTCCCCTTCTGTACAGCGTCCTTAAAGGGGAACTCCACCAATTTTTTCTAAAGTTCCACATATTTAAATGGTTAAGATGTAAACAGAGTCGTTCAGAGTGGTTTGGTGTGAAACACTCTGTTCTAGAGAAACTAAGAATTGTTCACAGTGGTGGTGATAGGAACCAGACGTCCACCTCTAAAAGCTCCGTCACAGAAAGTTCCTACATGAAATGGTTATGAATTCACTGCCTGATGCCTTATACGTTGTTTACAATAGTTTTGAGAAGATACTGGGCCTAAAATGTATTTTAAGGCAATTTAAGGTGGAGGGATACATAATATGCAGAATGTTGTGAGGCAAAATAGTCCCCAAAGAAAACTTATTATTTCAGATTTTCCACTATTTTCCATCATCAACATTCCATATAAACTCAGAAGACTCGTGTAGGTTCACTGGTGGTTCTGGATAGTAAATAAAATGTCTATATTTGTGTTGTAGTCATGGCGACCCCTGGTTCCTATCACCACCACTGTAAAGACATCTGAACCATTTCACACCAAACCACTCTGAATCTCTCTGTTTACATCTCAACCTCTGAATTATGCAGAAATGTTGAAAAATCAGTGGGGTTCCCCTTTAAGAGCCTCAAGGCTGAAGCTTTAGCGTTAGCTAGAAAACAGTCACGAAGTTAGCCTAGTTAGCTACATATCTCTAACTAGCTAGTAGAGCTAAATAAAAGCAACATTATTAGGCTGGCGACACCCTGAGACATCTTGTTTTGCACCATAACATTACAGGTATCAGATAAAAATAAAAACAGATATAAATATTAGTACTGTTTAAGCAGTAGAACACTAGCAGAAGTGTTATCGTGAAATAACATCACGGCTGTGATTTGGTCGCCGTAGATCATCACAGCTGTGATGTTATTGGCGATAACACACTCCTCGAGTGTTCTATTGCTTTAATACAGCAGTTAAATAAATAAAGTAATAAATTAATAAACTGGGCCGTGAACGCGGCGTTTAATATGTTTTAATGTTCGCAGTTCCTTCACCAAATTATAGTTCCTTAACGAGCAGCTTGTTGCTACGTCAGAGTAACGAGCTCCGCCCACTCGCTGCACAGCCGGCAGTTCGTTCTCCAGCTCCTCACACTAAACTCCCAAACTGTCATCACCACTGAGCAGCTTTTCAGTCGGCAGCTGTGACAGAAGAACAGCTAAACAACCTGGAATCAGCCAGAAATGAACCCAATACCATTCGGCAAACGAGTAGTCTGATCTTCAGAGTCTGACCAAATCAGACTGAGCCATAAAACTGCCACAATATCAGGTTCAGCTCAGTTTTGTCAGTTTTTGCCAGATCAGTATTAATGTTGTTTTGTTCCAGCCAGTCTGTAAAGCATCTTACAGCCCATTTAGTTTGGCGAATGGTGTTGGGTTCATTTCTGGCTGATTCCAGGTTGTTTAGCTGTTCTTCTGTCACAGCTGCCGACTGAAAAGCTGCTCAGTGGTGATGACAGTTTGGGAATTTAGTGTCATCTCATCTTCAGAGTCTGACCAAATCGGCTGTCAGTCAAATGTGATCTTGAAAGTGTCCATTTTCTGTTTGTGGCAAAGTAAGAAGTAAAAACGTTCAAATGACTTGAGCGTCTCCTACAGCTGTCACAGTCGTTCCTTAGCAACGGCGTCTCAGTAGAGTGATACAGTGTTTGTGAAAAAAACGTGATGTTATGGTGAAATAACAGCACAGTTAGAACGCTGCTCAACCAATCAGCTCGCGTGGCCGGAACTAACTGTTGTATAAAGGCTAATGAAACACTATGCTCAACATTTATGTCTGGCTAAAACTCGTGGTAGAACTAGAACAACACCCTTAGGTTCAATCGATAAAGCATTCCAGTCCGAGGTGTTTTGTAAAATGGCATATATTGCCTTTATCACATAACCAAGCATGTAATACATCAGAACAAACAAAGAACAAAGAACTGCATCATACACATACGGTTACAGATTCAGAGGTACAGTCACGTTTGGACAGATGTTGAAACTTACCGTCAAGTCAAACCGATAATCTGCATAGCTCGTAAGTAGAGGTTTGCATATTCATTCCCAGAGAACGGAGAGGCGTGGCCGTATGGAGGGAGCAGCGGCGTACAGTAAAGGTCATGTGCACTTGCATAACATAAAGAGTCAACCGGTGCATAGATTATGCTACGTTACAAGGCCTACAGACAACATAGAACAAGACCGAGTCGAGTGAAAAGATGCAAAATAAATATTCAAGAAATATTCATATTCATATTCAAAAGTTCTTAAAAATTTCCAAGTCCTTCGGAGACACGGCGGGCTCCTTTTTCCGCTTCTCGTCAGGATACGTGTCAAAGTTCGAGGAATCTCCCTCATGCGTGACTTTGGGGATGATGGCCGGCTGAGTTGGTCGGAGGAGGAGAGAGAAAGACAGAAAGTGTCAATAAGCGAATAGAAGTTCTAGTTTTAAGAACAGGGAAGAATCCCACCATCACAACGTTTCCACCTGGCGGATGCGCAGACAAAAAAGATAATCCATTAAAAATGTATTACAAACTTTAATGGAATTATTTTATTCATTACTTCCCAGAAAAAGTTTCACTACTCATTATTCTCTAAAAGCCCCCATTGCTGACACAGGTGTTCACATATCACAGCCTGTATATTTTCCATATAAAAGAACTGACCAGTAGAATGGGACAATCTAGAGCAGCTGCACATGAGCCTAAGGTCAACATGCCCAGTGCCAAGCGTGGGCTAGAGGGGTGTAAAGCCCCCCAGCATTGGGCTGTGGAGCAGTGGAACTGTGTTCTCTGGAGTGAGGGAGCTCCATCAATGAATGGGTCCCTCCGTGGATGAAGAGTTGATGCACTAACTGGCCAATTTATTAGAAACGCTTACCTTTGTGCTTCCACTCACTGGCCACTTTATCAGAAACACCTACCTTGAATGTCCACTCACCAGCCACTTTATTAGAAACACCCACCTAGTACTTCCACTCATTGGCCACTTTATTAGAAACACCTACCTTTATTAGAAACACAACTACCCCATTCATCACAGGACCTCTGTTGTCCAGATATTACTTGGGTGGTTGAGAATGGACCAGGCAAAAGAGGCTCTATATTCAGACACTGACCACTGACGAAGGGCTAGAGGATGACTAACACAGACTGTACAACGGATGAACTACAGTCTGACTGAACCCCAGTGAGGGGTTTCTGATAAAGTGGCCAGGTAATGTATAGAGTGAATAGAGAATATACATAGAAACAGTGGAAAAGTTTACCTTGAGCCGTCTTTGAGGAACGACGTCCCAGTCTATAGACCTGAACCATCTGTGCTTCTTCACATCCTCTGCTCCACCCTAAAGGCCGAAGGGTCAAACGGTAAATACTGTATCACTCGATCATCAGGAGTACCACTCTCTTCATTTATGCTGATCACTGTGAAAGTTCTTATTTCTCTCATGTAGTTTTAGAACATTATGGATAATCATGAAAGAAATGCCATTCGTCAGTGACTCTGACTGTGGGGTTCAATGCATGGGCAGCTGAACAGTGACGCAAGCAGAGCAACTGCACTGTATAATATACTATAACTAGCAATGATTCAATGAGTTAAAGTCCCAGAGAACACAGTCTAAAATATTCTAAATGTTTGTATAAAACAGTTTTATATTAAACGTTCAGCAAAGTTTGTATGAAAAAAAAACAAGACATAAATATAATAAAACACAGCTAAAAACTGCAGATCTGTCTTATCTGAGAACTATCTGGGCGTGGCCTAATATTCTTAGGAGCATGCATGATTGGCAACCATCAGTCCATCACTCTCAGTCTGCTACACCACTAAAACAGGACTAAACACAACAGCACGAGTGGGAACGGACAGACAGACGAGTTAGCTTGCTAGCTCAATTATACATAATAGGGTAGCTTTCGCTTGGTTGTTAGCTTCTCTTGTTAAGTTTCTCCAGCTCGAACAGGAGAAACACTGTTTTGTTAAAGTACACACTTAAAGATGGTTCTTCAAGGGTTTTTTAGTAAAGAAAATGGTTCTATATAGAACCATGAACACTCAAATAACCCTTTGCATGATTGAAGGGTTCTTTGCATCATGAAGGGGTTCTTCAGATTGATGGGGAAGGTGCTGTAGATTTTTTCAAAAAAGGGTTCTTCTATTGTTATAAGCTTGAAATTGTAACAATATCAGAACCCTTTTTGGTGCTATAGAGAACCCTTTTCAAAAAGGCTCTGTATAGAACCATCTATAGCACATTCTCCATTAATCTGAAGAGCCGTTTCATGATGAAAAGAACCCTTAATCATGCAAAATGTTTTTTGAGTGTTCATGGTTCTATATACAACGATTTTCTTTACTAAAGAACCCTTGAAGAACCATCTTTTTAGGTGTACAGTTTAAGTAACATTACTTGGCTAAACACTTTTTAGTCTTTGCTGTGATTTTTTATTATTTAGATTTATGCCTATTGTACAACAGACACAAAGACATTTATGTTGTACTGCATTAATGTTTCATTTGTTTAGGTGTCAGACATGACACACATATCAGACCATTCAGCAGACCCGGCCCAACCTGGCTAACAGAACATCATCGAGCTGTGATGTCAGCATCAGTGAGTAAGTTGGCTCGAAAAATCACCCAAATCCTGATATTGTTGCTCTGCTTTTTTGGCCTTCATATTCCAACAAAGAGTTAAAACAGCGACATGATTCACACATCAGTTCACTCCTCAGACTCTGCCTCACCATCCAGAGTGATTTCATTAACCTGTGACCGTCCATCAGCCAGAGATCAGCTCCAAAATCACCCACAACCCACTCACTACTGTTATATCACATCTCTGCTTTTAGCCTTCATATTATAAACAAAGACATGATTCACAACCAGAGCACTCAGAGTAACCTGACCTCACTAGCCAGAGTGAGAGAAACCACAACCCAGAAATACAGCACAAACACACAGCCAGATCACTGTAAAACCTGCTATTAGCTCTCTGCCTTACCCTTCATATGGCAACAAAAGGGTTAATGGGAAACACAGAAGTTGTATCTGGTCTAACCCAACTTGAAAAGCCCTCTTTGAAGCGCGAACAGTCGAGATCAAAAGCTAAAACTGAATAATCTCACAGCGGATAAAGCAAACACACTAACTGTGGGCTGGTGTCAGAGGATGCCCTTCCCTCGGGCTTCTTCTCCAAGCCTGTCGCTCTGTTCTTCTGGGAAAACTCCTGGAGGAAAGGCCTAGTATGGGTCACGATAAGCTAATCTGCCTAAGATTTCCTTTGTTCCTCATAGCCTGGGAAGCTTTTGTGGATAACTGGGCCTCCAGAAACGGCCTACTACTACGTGCTTTATCACGGCTGCATGCTTTATCAGACGAGCAGGAACGTCCAGTGGACACTTCCGTTAAGTTATTTTTGACTTCTAGCCTAAAAGTGGCCACGTGTTTGTGTTGTGGGAGCAGCTTCATCACTGTGATCTGTCCTCTAATTCAGCAAAGTCAGCTGTGCAGTTATACCAGTTACTGACACAAACAACAATACGATGTAGTAAGAAAGCATCAAAAATGTCAGAAAAGACTCATATGTAGTAGATTCCCTGGCACACAGTCTGAAAGTTCAGTTTCTCTAGTTTAACGTGCTGTTTAGAGTGTGTTGATATCTCACTGCACCAGTGACAGTCTCAAAACGGAGGATTCAGACAGGGTTTCATACGTCACAAACCTAAGAAACCAGTCCGGTCCACTGGCTGGGTGGAGCTTTCTTGTTTATTTTCTGGAACCCAGTCAAGAAGAACATTTTAATATTAGTTTATTAAGTGCAACACATACAGCAACCAACACAACCAAACACATCTATGGAGCCCCATTGGTGACATCCTGTATCAATAAAAATAATGTGTGGCCACGACTTAGTAAGGCATGGGAACAAGATAATTAAGTCAAGACCACAACTTGGTAAGGCGTGGGAACGAGATCCTAATGTGTGGCCACAACTTAGTATGGCATGATCTTCTTTCCATGCCTTACTAAGTCATGGCCATGACTTAATTATCTCGTTCCCACGCGTTACTAAGACGTGGCCACGCATTATTTTTATTTATATGGGATGTCACCAGCGGGGCTCCGTACAAATCCACTCAAATCCACACTAAACATGCTCCTCCTGTCCATGATATATGACAGTATAGGATAATATAGGAGCGTACTGCGTGCGGCATGGTGTGAAATTACCTTTACAAAGTACATGATGATTCGTGTCAAATGCTGACAGGACAGTTTTTACGGCTTTTGGATACTGATGAAGAGATTTATTGCACATTTTACTCAAAAAGTTTGTCAGATAGCTAAGCTTGCTGAATTAGACTTTGGGGCTGTTCATGTCATGATAAAGGTCGTCCTCATAAGCTGCTAGTATGGCGTAAGCAAGGTTAGCTAATTCAAGTACATATGGAACGTGGTGAAAGCCGTTTTCAGTGAAACGGCAGTAAAGATCTGAAAGCAAACTTCTATTTGCATATTCATAGCAAATAGATCTGCAAAGTACTGAATGAAGGTGTAGAGGTTCACCTAAGCAACTTTTAAAGCATTGGGAAATTTTTGTTCTTGGAAATAACTTCAAAATATGTCATTTTGATGAACAGAGATGAGTTTTTAGGGGTTTCATCAATGCTGTAGAGGGTCTTTAAGTCTACTTGGCTAGATGGTATTTACGAGCCTTTGCTGTGATTTTTTGTTATTTTGATTTCTGCCTGTTGATCTGTCCTCTAATTCAGCACAAATTCAGCTTTGCAGTTATGCCAGTTACTGAACACAAATAAGAATATAATGTAAAAAAAAACACATACATTTTTCACATTTTGCTCAGAAATGCTAAAAAAACAAACTGCATTAAAAAATGTCAGAAAAAGACGACTCAGATGAAGCAGACTGCATCGCACACGGTCTGAAAGTTTAGCTTCTCTAGTTTAATTTGCACTGAAAAGTGTGTCAATATCTCAAAAGCTGAGGAGTCACTAGCCACGTTTACATGCAGCATAATAATCCGTTAATAATCGGACTAATAGCTCAATCGGAATAGAATACGTCCATGTAAACACCTCAATCAGAATAGTCTAGTCTGATTGAGGCCATTTGGATACAGTTTCTATCCGACTGATCGAGGTGGGTAATCCTGTAAATAATCCGTTAAATAGAAAAATAATATCCGTGTAAACACCTGTATCTGATTACATTCCCTATCGGAAAGTTTAAGTCCGTTCTGATCATGTTCGTCGCGTCATAGTGAAAGTTTATACCGTTCAACATGGCGAAGCAGAAACTGGTCTGCAGAGGAGACGAAGTTTATGCTCTGATCTTTAAAAGACGGCGGTGGGACGGACGTCCAGCTTATGTGTCTCAGAACACGACGTCTTCCTCTCGGCCTTCTTTAATAAGGACATGTGAAGGACGTTTTCCTGAGTCTGACATCATTTTAAAGCAGTTAAAAACACAAGCACTGCTCACTGCTGCTCATCTCACTCTGACTGGACTCACGTGATGCTGGTTGTCATGGTAACGTCTACATTAAGTGGTTCTCTACGCATTTTCCATCAGATTGTTGAGTAGAGTGAGAACAAACACCTCAGTCTTACTCTATAATCGGACTGTATTCAACTTGATTGTCAAAAATCTTTGCATGTAAACACAGACAGTGAAGTCTAAAGACGGCATGACAGTAAGTCGGTCACTGGGCAGGACGCTGGGGTGCCTTTATGTCTGCATTGTTCAGGACTCTGTTGGAGTTTCCATTGGCTGCAGTGAACCTCTGTTCACTCATGCTTGAGCTTATTGTCCATGACACAAAACAAACACAAGTTTGGAGTGAATGAACACAACGTGAAAGTTTGCCTGGACTTGTCTTTGGGATGATATATTAAAAAAACAGACTTTGAAAGCTGCGGCCAAACATCAAGCAGAGACAATATCTACTGGGTGTAGACGTTCTAGAAAGGATGAACCCACTGACAGGAAAGAAAAGGATGGAGCAAGTGAGGGCTTGTTGACTCTGATTTAACCCCAGATGTTCTAACATTCAAAGACTGTGTTAAAGCGATAGCATAAGCTAAAAAGAGTAGCACCATCAATATTGCAGCCTGAATCTGTCTGCAGTTTAGTCCATGTTAATAGATAACAGTGAGTCATACAGTGTCAGATAAGCAAGTCTATTTGAGATCGTCGAACTACCAAAGTTGTCCTCTGAACAACAATCGAATGTGTGCGAAACGGTCAATGTGTTTCACCAAAATGTTCCTCTTTCACTTTAACCTGGGTGGTGTTAATCTTGGCTAGTGCTTATGTAAG